GTTATAATGAATTAATGAATGTTTTTTTATTTTATAAAATGAAGTACTCCATTTAATTGTGTGTGTGTGTATGTGTGTGTATTTGAAGGTGGTTGGAAAACTTGTAAACTATATGCAGACGAGGTCACAATAAAGTGGCTGAAGATATGGTGATGAAATCACATATCAGAAGATGAAACGACAACGTTTCGTTCATCCTGGACTATTAGCAAGTCATGTGATGGACCATCACATGACCATCACGTCCTGAACCACTGATAATGGGCCAAGACGGACCGAAATGTCGTCGTTTCTTCATTTTCTGATGTGTGGGTTGGGCAACTATATCTATATTAGTATTCGGTACAAACTTATAGAAATGAGTTTTGTTGTATTTTGTAGTGTTTGGAATCTTGGATTAAGAAAAAGGTTTAGGCAAAGTTAACCTCAATAGGTAAATTGTAAGAATTGCAATGGCTTAATTGCTTTCTTAAGGTATAATTGTGCCCTAATCTATGGTTACTTGGAGACTTACAAAAGTAGAAGTGAAGTAGAAGTAGTGATTAGTGTTTTGTCATAACAAAACACTAGTCAATATTAAAACATAAGAGTAATGTCTCCAAATACCGCTAGCTCAGTGATCCAACACATCCCAATATTGAGTTGCTGCTGCAAAGTTATTACTAAGAGCTTTTTAATATAAATTTGTAGGTTGTATTTGAAGATATATTATACAGTAATTCTCTAAAGGTTTTTACTACAGGTTTAAATGTAAACAACAGGAGAAATCTTTGCAAGTAATGTTGTAGATAAATGTTTACATCAAATTTTAAGAGAAAATTTAGAGGCTTAAACTTAGAGACGTCTTTATAAGAAACCTGGATAATTCGGACCAACCGGGCTATAGTAGATATGTGGGCCAGCAAGCTACTTCAAGCTTAGAAGTAGCCCTTTGAAGTAGGGCTACTTCAAGCTTTGAAGTATATGCTACATACATAACATACTTGGGCTATTGGACCAAACTGTCATAAGTCAAGCCTGGCTTTGAGCCGGGCTTGGAGAGCGGAAGAACTCCCAGAACCTTATCAAGGTATGATCAAAAATAAAACCCATAGATACATTACCAAATTATTGATTTAAATAAAAGTATTTGTTTAAAACAAAGGAATTTGGATATTATTAATCTAATCAGCAGTCTACCACGATGAACATGAACTTGAGATGAGTATCACATAAACCATGATATGAGTCGGCATTTGTTGTTCATCATGAACGAGACCCATGCAACAAGAAATTACAATGACATTTTTTAACTATTTCTCTAATTTTATTTGCAATGAATCAATGATATTTTAATGAATATTTGTTCAATTGAACAACTGCCTGAAAACACAATTCAATGATGCCCATTTGGATTGATAATTATTGATGTGCCTTACTGTATGATTTAATAAGTGTATTTATAGTAAATTAAATTGATAGAATCCTATATAAAACAATCCACATTCTGTATTGCAATTTCATCAATTCTTTAAGGTCTATTAACAAATCTTATTAAGGTTAAAATTCCTACCACAATTGAACCATGTAGCAAGCTCTTGTACCACACATATTTGGACTGTAGGGAGAGGAATACTGCAGAAATGGCTGTTAAAGTAAACAATTAAAATAATTAAATAATTTAAATAATTTAAATAATTAAATAATTTAAATAATTAAAGTAAATAATTTAAGTTAAATCAACACCTAACAGTCACAAAAGTTATCACTCCAAAAAATAATCAGTGCACGCTGTGTAGTGCTTTTTTTCCAGTCCTTCCTCTTGTTTAGTTAGTACGTTTTCCAGTCCTTCCTCTTGTTTAGTTAGTACGTTTTCCAGTCCTTCCTCTTGTTTAGTTAGTACGTTTTCCAGTCCTTCCTCTTGTTTAGTTAGTACGTTTTCCAGTCCTTCCTCTTGTTTAGTTAGTACGTATCCACTTATAGTAGCGACGTCGACCATCGTACATACATTGACGTAACAGACAATTAGAAAGGAGAATTTGGCAGTATAGTATTGAGTTTGGACAAACTGGAAAAGTTTTTTTTTATTTGTTAATGAAACCGGACCTAACCACCCCTAGGCCTAACGTAGTACATATATATAAAGTACAGTAGGCCTAGGAATATTTACATTTGTTTTTTTAGCTATATTTTTTTCCGAAATCCAGAAGATTTTGGTACTATTCACTTCATATTGTCCATTATGTTAATATATATGTACGATAGTCTACATAGTTACAAAAAGAATTATCTTATCGGAGGATGCGTTGGATTGTTCTGAGGCATTCTTACTATATAGTGTTATTCTTACAGAATCCAAATAATAGTTCTTAATTTCTATAATTATGTAAAATGTAACAAGACAAAACACAAATTGTTGGAAAAGAACTGATATTCATTTCATCTATTCCATTTGGTACTAAAACTGACATCCACACATTTATTTACTCATTGTCAACCCTCGGGTTTTGACCATTTTATCTAAAAAAATTATTTAACAAATAATAATTCATTGCAATTCAATACAAAATATTTAAGAGTACAAACAATTTGCTACATACAAGGCCACATCCACCAGAAAACAGACAGCTTCACGTAGATGTTATATTTGTTGGAAAAACGTCTTCACGAGTTTAATATTTGATTTATATACCAATATAATACTCTTAAAAATATAAGAACTTATCAAAGTTTGCCAAGCATGGATAGTAGCAGCATTGACTGTGGTTAGAGAATATTTCAGAAGCGAAAGGAAGGATCAGGGGAAAGCCCTAAGCCATTATGACTATATAGCACTGGGAAAGTAATCAGGATGAGGATTTGGGATGGGACGGGGAGGAAGGAATGGTGTCAAACCACTTGTGGACGGTCGACGACTGAACGCCGACCTGCATGAAGCGAGACTTGAAGAGTGCCTAGATATTCAGGATGTCAATACGAGAGCAGAAAGGCAAGAGATAAGCAATATCAAAGAAGACTGGGAAAGTAATAAGGAATAAAGTAATAAGGTCGTAAGGAATGTACCGACCGGCAACTAAAAGGAAGCGTTGGAAGGCAACATTTCTGATCATCCTGACGACGGGGACATTGTACGAGGTTAGTTGAAGAATGCAGTTCTGTTCTATTAAGTGCCTGATCATCCTGACGACGGGGACATTGTACGAGGTTAGTTGAAGAATGCAGTTCTGTTCTATTAAGTGCCTATGATGTGAGCTAATGTGGCTACTATTAGTGAGTTCAAAAGTAACAATGACTGATTTTTATGCATGCATGTGTACTGTAATTTCATAAACCGGGTCTCTGAATTATATATTGTAAATGCAAAACCTTCAATATTAAATACAAAATTTGTACAATACTGAAATATTGTCCCTTTTTCAAGCTAATAGCATGGCACAGTGTATGAAATGGATCACTCAGTCAATTGGGTTAAGCATGGTTGGGTAAAGCCAGTAACTGGATGGATGGATAGCTGGTGACTGCCTCACAGGCCCTCAATAAGTGTGACCGTTCCTATCCCTACCAATGATACCTGGTTGATACCTGGTTGATGGGGTTCTGGGAGTTCTTCTACTCCCCAAGCCCGGCCCGAGGCCAGGCTCGACTTGTGAGAGTTTGGTCCACCAGGCTGTTGCTTGGAGCGGCCCGCAGGCCCACATACCCACCACAGCCCGGTTGGTCCGGCACTCCTTTGAGGAGTGTTCCAGTAATGGTGTTCCAGTAATGTGTAACTTTGGAAGAGGAGAAAATTCAAATAATTCAGATGGAGTGGGGGGGGGGGGGGGGGGGGAGCCCTCCAAACCTCGAAAGAAAGATTCACAGCATTCGACCTAAAGAACCTTAAGAGTTTGTAAATTAATATTATAAAAATGCTGACACCCTCTTCAAAAATTTCGAATATTTTCCTCATCTTTATCATTTATTAGCCAAGGAATATTATTCTAAAAATGATTCCAAGCAGCATAAATGCTTCAAATCGCATTGAAAAGTATTTAAATATTAAAATGATGTAAATAGGGAGCATATAATGCTAAGCTTCCAATGATGACACAGTGATCCCTAATAACTAAAACACACAAGCAGAAGGAGGAATTTTTAAAACTTACAACTTCAAAAACAACCAATGATCCATTGGTGTTGAAAAAAATACAGAAATGTGCTCTTTTTGCAGACTTGTAGATGGTTGGAATAATTAAATTTAGAAGGCAGTGGATGACAAAACCATTTGTTTGTCGTTACAAAGCATCATACAACAATCTTGAGGTTATCTTGAGATGATTTCGGGGCTTTAGTGTCCCCGCGGCCTGGTCCTTGACCAGGCCTCCACCCCAGGAAGCAGGCCGTGACAGCTGACTAACACCCAGGTACCTATTTACTGCCTGGTAACAGGGGCATAGGGTGAAAGAAACTCTGCCCATTGTTTCTCGCCGGCGCCCGGGATCGAACCCGGGACCACAGGATCACAAGTCCAGCATGCTGTCCGCTCGGCCGACCGGCTCCCGACCGACAATGATTATAAGGAAGACGGGACACCATGAGCGTAGCTCTCATCCATTAACTCCTTAGGTAATTACACTTATATATATACATACACACACACACACACACTTACTATATTCATATATTTTCGATACAGTACTTCTTTCCAACGACGGTAGATTACTTTAGGGTCTATACAACCCTATATATGAAAAAAAGCTAACTTAACTCATTTAAGAGAACTATTATTCAGAACCAAAATAGAAGTATAGAAAATCCCAGTGAGTGTCACTGAGAAAACATTTATAAACCACTTTGTGCCTAACTTTGTGCACAGTCTAGTACAACAATGGCTTAATGACAAATTTTGTAAATATTCAATAATTTATATCTAAATATAATTCATACACCAGGAAAAACAAAAGTAAAAAACTTACCTTTATTATATAAAGCTAATACAGCCATTAATACCTTTATATAAATGAAAATGAAAAATACTGATATATAATTAAACAAAATTCTTATTTTACGTCTACTAGTCAGATGAATGTCGTTTGGAATTCACATTTTTATAGCAATCAATATCTGTCTCAATGAGTCATTACTTACTTCAAACAGTGTACAGTATATATTTAACCAACACAGAAGGAACTTGAATACCCAGCTCCTTCAGTATCTTTTAAATTTACAAAGGTTTAGCATTAAAAATATACAAAAGCAGTCTGAAGTACTTAACTATTTCCTTAATATCAGCAGGTTAGCTAAATTGAACATGTAATAAACGAATCAGATACCCTTAATCTCACTTATGAATGTTAATAAAATATATATGTATAACCCCCTCTCAAGGACTTAAATTACAGTACTGTACTCTAATGGTAAAATGACTAAGGATTTCAGGTGTGATTTTTTTTTTAGTTAATACTTCATCAGAGGTAGAACCAATACATAAATTTCTACTTTCTAAACAATAATGATTCAAATGCCTTCATTATCTAGGGCATCAGACTTAAAGAAATGCAAAAGAATTCTAACTCATATCAATGAGGAAAATGGCACAAATCCAATTTCTTCAGAGCACTGCCAAGCAATGTACACAATACAGTGCTTCACAGTACAGTGAGTACACAATAAAATGCTTCACAGTACAGTGAGTACACAATACAGTGCTTCACAGTACAGTGAGTACACAATACAGTGCTTCAATTCGCCCTGCACAGTACATCAAATGTTGAAAAATATCCCAGTATATTAGACACATTAAACATCATAGTGATCATGGTGGCAATGACCAGTTTATAAACAAGACAAAAAATTCACAGCAATATTCACCCCTAACACATAATATCCATCTTAAAGACCAGGGTCAAGAATGGCACCATTACCATTCATTTAAACATGTACAGCATTACCAAGCCCTCAGCTAACATGGTACAGACATTGACGGAAATCCTGTCTTCTGCCTCCATTTTTATATAGAACGCTTTCACACAAGCGTAGTGTCGTAACGTATACGTGTAATGTCATAACGTACAAGTGTAGTGTCGTAACATACATGTGTAGCATTATAACATGCGTGTGTATGTCACTACATGTAAGTGTCGTAACATACACATGTAGTGTCATATCACACAAGCATGGTGTCAACTTATACATGTAGTGTCAAAGTATATGTGTAGTGTCATAACATACACTTGTAGTGTCATGTGTGTGCATGTGTAGTGTCAAAACATACAAGTGTAGTGTCATAATACACACATGTAGCCTCATAACGTATAAGTGCAGCACCTAAATGTACAAGTGTAACATCATAACGTACAAAAGTATAGTGTCATAACACATACACTTGTAGTGTCATTACACTCACATATAGTGTCATTACGTACTCTCACAATACATGGATTACATAGGGGGGACAGAATGAGCTGAGGTAGTTTCCCTCTGAGATGGTCTTCACTAAAATTTAAACTTTTATTTTTTCACACTAACCATCATGCTTCAGCAACTCAGTACTGCAATATATCTTGATGGAACTTTGGTTACAGAATTTAACCTACCAATAATTGGTTACAAATATCACTTCATATAAATACTGTCCACAAATGCCAAAAATACTCTAAGTAAAAAAATGACACCAGTATTGCCAGCAATTTTTAACATTACAATAAAAAAGTGTTTTTTTTACTGATTTACTGAATGTACATTATATAATGAAACTTATTTTAAACAGTTATCCAAGTAGAAAAAAATATGTTTTTATGCAATCCAGTCCAGCTGTATGTTACCAAACTAGAACCAAACTAATTAATATACTTGCGCTGTCACGGAGCAAGCATTCTACGACGCAGTATAATTAATCCTCTTATACAATCTTTGATTGTGCTCTTGATCAAGCCACTAAAATCTAGGACAAAGACTAAAATCTATCAAGTATTGTCCTCTTGTAAGGTAACATTTCATATACAACAAGTGTACAAATGAAAACGAAAAAAGCACAGTATTGTCTGTAGAGGGTTGAAGCTCAAACATGAAGCACAAAGTACAAAGTAGGCAATTCTGTAATTGTGACACCTACCGTATAACAGCAGACTGCAGTCCATATATTTTGTTCCTCTTTGTGAGAGAAGTTAGTCTCTTTTTATTTTATGGTGACAGCAAATTATTGTTAACAATTTAAACTCACTTTTACAGTCACTACTGCATTAATATTTCATTTCTTGAGTGTATCTTCAGTTAGTATCTTCAATATTATTTCAAACAGACTCATCAATCTGAAAAAAAAGTAACAAAAGTTTATTACACAAGATTTTACTTGTTAATATATTTAGTTCTTCAGTTATGTACAAATAAACTTTTGTATTAGAATGCATTCCGTATGGCCCATCCGTAAACACTCCAAAACAATGGCCAACCCATCATGTGAGGTCCACGGTTAACACCAAAACAATGGCCAACCCATCATGTGAGGTCCACGGTTAACACCAAAACAATGGCCAACCCATCATGTGAGGTCCACGGTTAACACCAAAACAATGGCCAACCCATCATGTGAGGTCCACGGTTAACACCAAAACAATGGCCAACCCATCATGTGAGGTCCACGGTTAACACCAAAACAATGGCCAACCCATCATGTGAGGTCCACGGTTAACACCAAAACAATGGCCAACCCATCATGTGAGGTCCACGGTTAACACCAAAACAATGGCCAACCCATCATGTGAGGTCCACGGTTAACACCAAAACAATGGCCAACCCATCATGCGAGGTCCACGGTTAACACCAAAACAATGGCCAACCCATCATGTGAGGTCCACGGTTAACACCAAAACAATGGCCAACCCATCATGTGAGGTCCACGGTTAACACCAAAACAATGGCCAACCCATCCTGTGAGGTCCACGGTTAACACCAAAACAATGGCCAACCCATCATGTGAGGTCCACGGTTAACACCAAAACAATGGCCAACCCATCATGTGAGGTCCACGGTTAACACCAAAACAATGGCCAACCCATCATGTGAGGTCCACGGTTAACACCAAAACAATGGCCAACCCATCATGTGAGGTCCACAGGTAACACTAAACCACCAATGGTCAACAAATGGCAGGAGAGAAGACCTAGAGACTAATAAGAGTTCCAAGGGGTTCTAGACAAAGTAGGCAAGTAGGGCAACCCTTAACAGTTGTATAGGATAGGGAGGGTCTAATAGGGATGAGAAAGACCAGTGAAGATTACCTTCCAAAGAAGTCTTCCTATACTGGCAGATAAGAGAAAATTATGGGACATGGAAGATACAGCCAGGTGTTTATTGACCAGGACATGAGTAAGAAAGAGAAAGCTAAGAGAAAGAGAGAGGAGAAGTGAAGGGAAATAGAAAGAGGGACATGAAATGGAGTTGGGAGGGAAAAAGAAGTGTGACCAGGGTGTGCAGAAGATCTTCGGGCACAGCAAGAAATTGGGTCTATTCCCAATGGTGAGGAAAGAACCTAGGAGAATGAGTGCGTGAGACTAGCTGAGACTCTCAAATGCTACCCCTCCAGGATGGAAATAGCCCAAAGAGAGAGAATCTATACACCAAGAGGATACAAAGCAGCCCAGTAGAGACAAGTACAACCTCGATTCAATGAGCTTCATGGGACCAACCCCAATTCTTGAGTTATCTTGAGGTGATCTTGAGATGATCTTGAGATGATGATATTGTGACTTATCGCCTGCATAAATGATGAAAGTTTGTGTACCCAAATATTTTTAAAATCAATAATCATGATTTAATTCCTGTTGAAATAAACTCAGCTTTCTTCGAAGCATATAAGATCAGGGATGACACAAGAGGCAAGCAAAATTCATGAATGTACAAATCCACAAGGGCCGTGACGAGGATTCGAACCTGCGTCCGGGAGCATCCATTTACATTCATGAATGTAAATACTGTACTAACCTGCATACAGAGAGCCACGCTATGCCTCGGTTTCCCCTTTCAATCGAAGGCGGGCAAAATCTTCAAAGATAATGTCATCATCCTGGTCAGCATAGCACGTAGTTCCGTCTCTATGGGAAGAAAATACAAATTCCTTTACAAGAATGGCCGCCATGAGGAAAACTTATACCAGAACAATAATTGAACATCAACAATATATGTCAACCGCATATTTTCATGACATGACAAGAAAAGCTTCAAACATCGTCCTAACTTTCCTGACACAATTTCTCTTAGCGTGTCTGTATCTTGTGCTACTCACATCACTGGTAAACATTTTCTACCTAACAATTCAGTTGGCTGTAGAGATAACAAATAACTGTTGTCTGAATATAATAATTAATATATATGGCACAGTAAGTACATACACAACAAAGTTGTTAATTTAACTTTTTATTTTGTAGGTTCAAAATTAGACTGAATAATCAATATTACATATTAACTTTTTCACTCATGTGTGTTGCAATTAGTCATCAGGAAATAATTAAAACACATAAATTACTGGTTTTGCTCTTAATCCAGTACCCTTTAGGGTCTAGGCATCTAGAGTCCCATTGTAGGTAAACAATCCATTCTGAGCTATCTCACTCAGTTGCTCCCAAAGTAAGATCCTACTGACCCAAGGTTAAAATCTAGCACAGCCAAGGCAGGCCAACATTCTGCATTGATGCAGCTGGAAACGTCTCATTATCCTTGCTGTGTCACACTGATACTAAGATGACAATGAGAGTTCTCAATCTTATCAATCTGCTGTTCCAGTGTGGATTGTTGGCTTACCCTGATTGTGTGTGAACATTTCTCTACTGTTCCAGTGTGGATTGTTGCCTTACCCTTATTGTGTGTGAACATTTATCTGCTGTTCCAGTGTGGATTGTTGGCTTACCCTTATTGTGTGTGAACATTTCTCTGCTGTTCCAGTGTGGATTGTTGGCTTACCCTTATTGTGTGTGAACATTTCTCTGCTGTTCCAGTGTGGATTGTTGGCTTACCCTTATTGTGTGTGAACATTTCTCTGCTGTTCCAGTGTGGATTGTTGCCTTACTGTTATTGGGGAAAATTTTAACCAAATGCCATTGGGAGTTTGCCCAGTCTTAGGGAACAACTAAGATACCCTAGAAAGGACCAATGAAGGATGTATATATTTTTTTTTTTTTTTTTTTTTTTTTTTTTTTTTTTTTTTTTTTTTTTTTTTTTTTTTTTTTTTTTTTTTTTTTATATACAAGAGTTGTTACATTCTTGTAGAGCCACTAGTACGCGTAGCGTTTCGGGCAAGTCCTTAATCCTATGGTCCCTGGAATACGATCCCCTGCCGCGAAGAATCGTTTTTTCATCCAAGTACACATTTTACTGTTGCGTTAAACAGAGGCTACAGTTAAGGAATTGCGCCCAGTAAATCCTCCCCGGCCAGGATACGAACCCATGACATAGCGCTCGCGGAACGCCAGGCGAGTGTCTTACCACTACACCACGGAGACTGTAATATTGTGCAATTTAATGTTAAGATACAAGACGAAGAAAATGACGAGGAAGTTACTATAAGCAATGCACTCTCACCAGAAAATCATATAAATCTTGTAGCAAGAGAAACTTGTGTGATTGCAAAGTTGAGGACAGCCAGCCATTCAGTACATAGATGAAGAAACAGAAAAAACTAAACAAAATAGTCTATGCAAATTTATAAATGATACAAGAAAGAGAAGTTTTTATGTAACCTGCAATAGACAAACCAAAATGTAGTAATAAACATAATGTAGAAATGATAACAGGAAGTGGGGGCTTCCTGGGGGCTTAACCAAAGTGGGGGCTTCCTGGGGGCGTAACCTAAGTGGGGGCTTCCTGGGGGCTTAACCAAAGTGGGGGCTTCCTGGGGGCTTAACCGAAGTGGGGGCTTAACCGGCTAGGGGAGCCAGTCGGCCGAGCGAACAGCACACTGGACTTGTGATCCTGTGGTCCCGGGTTCGATCCCAGGCGCCGGTGAGAAACAATGGGCAGAGTTTCTTTCACCCTATGCCCCTGTTACCTAGCAGTAAAATAGGTACCTGCGTGTTAGTCAGCTGTCACGGGTTGCTTCTTGGGGGTGGAGGAATGGTCGAGGACCGGGCCGCGGGGACACTAAAGCCCCGAAATCATCTCAAGATAACCTCAAGATAAGTGCATCACAGTGGAAGATTAGAGGGAAGCCCAAGAGTAAGAGACAGTATATGGTAAAGTCACTCGAATAGTATAAAATGGTTTTTATTCAAAATTCAGTACAGACGACAGGGCACCAAAGGCATATTTTCATCCCTGTACCTTCATATAGATAATTTACAGCACACAAAGACTGATCAAAATGTTGACTTGTACCCAACAAGGGGCTTATATGTTGACCAGACCACACACTAGAAGGTGAAGGGACGACGACGTTTCGGTCCGTCCTGGACCATTCTCAAGTCCATTGAGAATGGTCCAGGACAGACCGAAACGTCGTCGTCCCTTCACTTTCTAATGTGTGGTCTGGTCAACATACTCTAGCCACGTTATTGTGACTCATCACCTGCACAAGGAGCTTATACCCAAAAGGGGCCTGACAGCTGAGTCGACAGCGCTTCGGATACGTAGTCCTGAGGTTCCGGGTTCGATTTCCGGTGAAGGCAGAAACAAATAGGCAGAGTTTCTTTCATCCTCATGCACCTATTCACCTAGCAGTAAATAGGTACCTGGGAGTTAGACAGCTGCAAAGGGCTGCTTCCTAGGGGGGGGGGGTGTAACAAAAAGAAGGCCTGGTTGAGGACCAGGCCACGGGGATGCTAAGCCCTGAAATCCTCTCAAGATAACCTGGATTGTACCTGGATGGGGTTTTGGGAGTTCTTCTACTCCCCAAGCCTGGCCCAGGACCAGGCTTCACTTGTGAGAGCTTGGTCCAACAGGTTGTTGCTTAGAGCGGCCCGCATACCCACCACACCCCATACTTTGACTTAATACATCAAAGATTATACCGGCATTTTCCTAGCCCTGCAGTGTACTATGTGGAACCATTTTCATCCTTTCCATGTGCAGATAGAAAAAACTAAAGCAGAATATTTTAGAGTTGTTCAAATGTTACCTGTTAATGACTTGAAGGATCAAAGTCACCGCGGCCTTGCAGTTGGTGGTCTGGTCAACCAGTAATCACAGCCAAATTGATCAGGTATCATTTGAAGTGTTGCATATTATGGCATAAATTAATGTGTAAAGAAAATAAGTGGATAAAATGTTTGAAGTTAACTACCCTATACAGTATATACTTTCTTCTGTGTTCCAAATATAGTGACTTTCCACCCATAGTGGTGGTGCCCAATCATTCACCTTTGATAGTGGCACCCAACCTTCCACCCTTGCATGATAGTGGCACCCAACCTTCCACCCAGGCATGATAGTGGCACCCAACCTTCTGCCCACGGTAGTGTCAGCCAACGTTAGTATTTAAGCAGCAACATTAGTAACAATCTCCAAAAAAGGACCAGAAAATAACTACTGTATTTAGAAACAAATTGAATTTAGTGTTAAGTAGCTCATGCAGACTGCCAAAAACTGTACAGTGAAGCCCGACTTAACGCAACGCACAAAGAATCAGATACTGGACATATCTTGGTTTTATGGAGCAGGTGACCAGAAAACTCAACCTACTTCACGTAACCGGACTGACTTAGCATTGGGACTTGCCGATTTCATATTTCAAGTTTGTTCATTTTTATGGTGTTATATTATACCTCTAGTAGTAATTATTATTATTATTATTATTATTTGCACAATGAAATCACATTAACGTGATGTATCAATCAGAAAATCAGTAGGAGCAATAAGGAGGATTCGAACCTGCTCACTTCATGCTCCCAAGTAAATGCCCTAGACCACTACACCGTGACATGGTCAAAATCATACACTATTATTATCATTAAATGTTGTACTGTACCGGTACTCTAATATAAATTGTAAAATAAAGTTCGTATAAATGTTGTTTTATTTTTTAGGAATGTCATAGCACTACCAAAAGTGGGCACGTTCCAGGCCGGTGCTTTCTTCTCATTACTCAAGAAATGTACACCATTTTATATTAGATATTTCATTATTTGTTAGTAGAAATGTTAGGGAGCACAAGCTCACATTCTACTTAAACTGGATAACAAGGATATGGCTAATGTTATATTATTATAGTTATTATGCATACTTTAAATGCATTGCTTTTATATTATTTGTACATGCAAATTATGTACAAAGTTTTTAAAATTTGTGGCATGGAACCCTAAACACTAACAATCATAGCAAAAAAGAAAAGAAAAAAGCAGTCTTGAGAATAAACAGCAACCTGGATTTGACAGAATGGGTCCAGTACCAGAAAGTCTTTGGAATCGAGGCTACACGGCACACATGCAAATTTAAATGCTTTACATAATACCCACACAAAGCTATCTTCCTGTATATTAATATTGATTAAATCTACTGTGATGCACCCAGCTTGAGAGGCGTTGGGCTTGGAAGAGATGCTTGCATTCGGAGATCCCTCCGAGGCTTGAGGATTCTGTATTTCTGGGTTGATAGAACCCCCAGTTCTGCCACTACCAACCCCAAGCCTGTCTACCAGTTGCTCTAACTTGTCCTTGATAGAACCAAGGAATAACTGCATTCTGAAGAACTTATCAACTCTCACAGGAAGGCTTAGACCCAAGCCTCTGCAGGCACGCCTGTAGTACCCACAGCGTATTAGGTTGCTTTTTATATGTACTACTAAATGTTTCAACATAAACTAGAACATCTTATGATTATAGTAACAACAGAAAGATGAAAACTAAAACTACAGGAGGTAAAATGTTAAAGAAACTAAACATTAAGTTATATAAAAACAGAAAATCTGAGAGAATATCATTTTAATAATCTTGGAAACTTATGAAAGATAAAGATTTTTGTTTGTGAATCAGTGATGTCAGAAAACTATACACCGAGCTCTTAATTAAATTAAAGAATACAAAGTATTAAATAGAGATGGTAGATCATCTACCATCTATCAAATCATCAAGGTAGATGATTTGGAATAGAGAGATATACAGTATATAAATAATCTATAGTATTAAAAAAATTTCAGCAATGTGTACTGTAGTACGATCTGCAGATATATTTTAAAACCTTTGCTAAGAATTTAAACTTTAGGCAAATAAATCAAACACATTCATGACAATTATACTAACGTGTCAAGTTCAATGAGATTTGCATCCACTGGTGGGGCCGACTCAGAGTCCTGCGTGGGAGATGACGTAGCCGGTGCTGCAGGTTTGCTGCTTTCCGACTCCTCTTCTGGCTTCGGATGCATCAGCGTAAATGGCAATTCAGCAACCAGGTCACTAGAAGTGCATATACATATAAATTAGTATGAAAAAAGGAAAATGAATTAAAATGTTAAATGCAATATGCATTTTTTTAAAATGTTATTTATACCATTATGCTTCTAATGGTCACATAATTTAATAATTTTTATACGGATTCTTGTATTCAAATATTAAGATAACATGACATAATTACATCAACTTGCTGGTGAATTCTTACCCTACGAGTGGACCAAGAATGAGCTTCACTTTGACCTTGTACTGCACAATAATACCCAGGTTTTCCTTTTGACAAGAGTCCGTGATACTGGAAAAATATACACAAGCATATACAGTGTAAAAATAATATATATACGCCTGTACTATCTATCAAATTGGCAACACAGTACAGTAATCCTTTTGCAGGTAAAATTACACAATCTTATGAAATCTTATGAAAAATATGAGCAAAAAGCCAGCGTTGAATGTAATGAAACGCCATTTTCTGGATGAGCCTCGGAGACTCCCTGAAGCTGTCCAAACTGACATGTGCAATATTAGTTTGGTGTTATCAGTCACATGAGATCTTTATATCTATGGGAACCACAAGACAGAACCTGGTCTTTGCAGAGAACCGCAAGAGCAATGGCCTATGAGCACTTTACATTTAAAGTATGTCATACCTGCTTGATACCTGCTTGATGGGGTTCTGGGAGTTGTTCGGCTCTCCAAGCCTGGCCCAAGGACAGGCTTGACGTGTGAGAGCTTGGTCCAACAGGCTGTTGCTTGGAGCGGCCCGCAGGCCCACATATCCACCACAGTCTGGTTGGTCCAGCACTCTTTGCAAAAAATGATCTTGTTTTCTCTTAAAGATGTCCACGGTTGTTCTGGCAATATTTCTTATAATCGCTGGGAGGATGTTGAACAACCGTGGACCTCTGATGTTTATACAGTGTTCTCTGATGTGCTTATGGCACCCCTGCAATTCACTGGTTCTATTCTGCATTTTCTTCCGTATCGTTCACTCCAGTATGTTATTATTTTACTGTGTAGATTTGGGACCTGACCCTCCAGTATTTACCACATGTATATTATTTGATATCTCTCTCGTCTCCTTTCTAGTGAGTACATTTGGAGAGCTGAACAACACGTTGCCAACACGTCCGCTGGGAAGCCGACTTCCGCACAGAGTGAGCACCACGTCTCCCAGACAAAGAAGGCCCCGGGGAACACACTGGCTCAGACACTGGCACCAATAGCCCACCTCGACCCAATGAAGCCCGAGCCCTGGCATGCCCCTTCCCCTCCTTAAGAGGTCTGTGAACAACATCCCCCCTCCCCCGGAGTGACAACAAGTTGGATACGGGACTGTAACTGGCCGAATCCACCGACAAAAACTGCAACACAACCTTCCGGGAATAACAGAGGGCAGATTGGAGTTGAAGACTGTAGAGCTAGGGCCCAAACCGAATCCAGAGAGCGAGGACAGTCTGCCGACATGCAAGATGAAAGGTGAAAACTAGAAACACTGCCTCCAGAAGGATTGGCACAAACAGCAGGGCAAATGGCACAGCAGCAGCCAAAACCAGAACCCCAGCCAAAGGCCCCTCACTCAACGCCTCCACATCCTCTGAAAGTCAATCCGAAGGCAGCTCCAGAAGACCGAAGAAGCACAAGACCGAGGCCAAATGACAAACTCTGAAGGTCATGAGCCACCAAAGCAGCCAAAAGAATGGGGGACTTGAGCATTCAACTGCACCAGACCCCATATCACAAGAGTGTGCAGGGGTGAAAAGGCACTCATTAAAGAACTCAAGTGAGCCACCCAAAAACACCTGCAACACAGAAATAACCTCTTGCCACTCAAGCACCAAGCTCCAAGAGAGAAGAAAGGGCATTCTGCCAGCCAGGAAAACTCCGGAACCTCATACTGCACCCAATACAGGGAAGAACCAAACTCAAATGAACAGGATCCATTATAGAGGCTTAACCTGGGTCTTGCAGGAGGCACACACCAAGGGTCTCCCGAACCTCTGCAGGGAAAACATGAGAAGGAATCCTCCAGAAGGACGAATCCAAGGATTCCAAAGGCACCTGGGGAGCCGCACCCAACTTAAACTCATACAGGGAAGGAGGATACGAAAACCCCTGCCCAGAAGGTACGAGGGCCTAAGCAGGGGTCAAAAGAAGCCCAAGCGCTCCACACAGACTCTCCCCCCCTACCGAGCCCCGGGAACCCCCAACAGAGGCTCCGGGGCTGAGCTTTCATTCACGCCCACCACCCACCCCTAAAGAAAGGGCACAGTCCAGAGGAAAAGCTTCAAAGAAGAGACTCTGCTGGGCAATCCACAAGCTTAAGTGGGGAAATCGATCTCAACTACCTCTACACCCGAATCGGAAGGGACAGCCCCCGAAACCACCCAAACCTCAGCCCAAGTTAAATCCCGTCCTGACTCTGAAACCCACAGATGTTTGGGAGCAGGGTGAACCATGCCCACCTGAAAAGGAACTGGGGGTGCGGATGGAACCAAGGCTAAAGCGACCAATTCCTGGTTACTAAACCCAAAACAGAGCAGTTCCAGGGCTTCCAACCAGGCGACCAACCGGGTTCATTGCAACAGAGAGAGACTAGCATGCACAGGCAATGAGTCACAATTATGTGACTGAAGTATGTTGACCAGACCACACACTAGAAGGTGAAGGGACGACGCTGTTTTGGTCCGTCCTGGACCATTCTCAAGTCGAGTGTCTTGATCGACATGACACAATCGACTTGAGAATGGTCCAGGACGGACTGAAACGTCGTCGTCCCTTCACCTTCTAGTGTGTGATCTGGTCAACATACTAGCATGCAACGCAGCCGCCACCTGACCCTAAAATCATCTGATAAAGAAGGGTAGACTGAAGCACAAGCGGGGAACAAGTCCCACAAAACTCCGGGTTGTAAGCAACCAAACAGATCGGCTTACACCGACCCAAGAGGCAGAAAGACGAAGGCATTACGGATGATCGTCACCCTGAGGCAGGGGCAACAAACAAACTTCAACATCGCACATGGCGAGAGAGGACTAGGAAGACACATCCATGGTACCCCCCAAGCCCAATGGGGTGTTCCAGGGCCCATAGTATAAGTAAGCTCTACGGGAAGCCGAGGCATTGGGGTTAGCTAAACAGGTAGTACCTTGTCTATCAAGGCAAACTGGCCACCAGTAGTACCAATGCAACCTCTTGGGCAAAAGAAAAGTACTACCAACACAACCTAGGTGTACCTAATGAGAAGCTAGGCAGACCTCAGTGAACAAAAACAAAAACGCTATAAAGAAAACAAAAACTCCTGAGGCCACACAAACAAACTGGCAGCTAGAGAGAATCGTCGGTCGCCACATATGCAAGCTGCGCCGGCTGCAATGCACCCCGCCCACCAAACTCACTCCCTACCTGGGCCAAAACAGAAAGCCCAAGACCTCCAACGAACCCCCATGGGCGAAGCCTACGCCAAGCCTACGACATTCAAACAGGAGTGAGGCCCAAACACCCCAGGGAATGTAATCCAGGAACACAAGGGTAGTACTTACGGAGCATCTAAGGAAGGTCAACCTAGGTGCATGAAGCACAAAGATACACCTGGCCACCACACCACACACACTCCTGGTACAGCCAAATGGTCAAAATCCAGAACAAGAAAGCAAGGCCAGAGGTGACTTCTGACCATCATGCACATCAGTCGAGAACTGAAGGGTGAGCCACCGGCTATCCCTCCCCTATGGGACACTAATGAGAGGAGATGCTAGTTGGATGATGTGTTGCTTGTTGGTTTGATTTTTTTTGTGGGGGGGAGGGGGGGGAAAGAGTTATTTTGCTCTGTCCAGACATAGGCAGCAATTTTCATCAGCTTGTGGTCTGTTTTGTTTTGCCTATCTTTCTGGGTGCGCTTCCTGGTCAATGGCAAGTATGACATGCTTTAAATGTATAGTACTCATAAGATATATGCTGGTTAACACCGTTAATGTGTGGCCACGTCTGTGGTAGAAAATAAAAATAAAAAATAAAAAAATTGTTCCCTGCGCGCCTCTGAGGGGACCAGGTTCTGAATCGTGGTTCCCGATAGGAATAAGAACCTCTATAACTGATGACCCTAAACTAATATTGTACATGTAAGTTTGCATAGCTTCAGGGAGCAGACGGAGTTTCCCACAGAAAAGTTGTATCCGAGTATGAAAAGACCAGCATTGAATGTAATGAAATGCCTCTTTCTGGGAAGGACTTGTTGGCTCCCTGTTGCTAGCCACACCGAGATAGCTCCCTAAAAGAGAACTGACCGAGCTGAACACAGCAGAAAGTAGGACGACTGAACTCTCCCGAAATACACATCTGAGGACCCTACCAGAAATGCTCAAACGTTGATGGAGGATAGGGGATATCTCTCTCACCCGAGCTGAAAACTCCCCACCGAGGAAACCAGATACAGTACAGTGTACTAGAATGGGTTGAATGGCACCCAAAGACTCCTCTCCAGTCCCAGAATCTGAGATGAAGGCTCCTGGGGCAGAGCCAAGTTCCACACCTGATGCCTGATCAAACAGAAAGGCATCTTCGCACTCTAAAAAGATCTGAACCAATTACAACCCCCATGAGAAATAGAATGTTAAGGAACCCCAGCGGGAAGCAACAGCTGCCAATATAGAAGGAACGATCCCCAAATGACAACAAGCATTTAGCAAAATCGATGGACATCCTTTAAATTCTCAAGGAGTGAGTGGCATCAAGGCATCACAAGGCCTGAAGATAAAGATCAAGATGGACACCCAGGCACTAGGGACACTCCTTGAGGTTACCTTGAGGTGCTTCCGGGACTTAGCGTCCCCGCGGCCCGGTCGTTGACCAGGAGGCCTGGCCTCATTCACTGGAAGAACTGACATCAAATGTAACACACAGCATAAATGCTTCTGTGAAGGGCGTCGGTGGCATCCCAAATGTACAAGCACATGAGCCCTAGCGTACACCTTAATCAATAACCCCAGAATGCTCCCTACCTCAGAGCCTAACAGAAGAGTCAAAGACCCTTGCACTACGGAAAGCGAGGCAACCCTCAAAGATTGCTGGTCTCTATGGGACGAGCACCCGAACCCACTAGGGAAGCAACCCCTGTTAAGGGCAGGGGAGCAACATCAACAAACTCCTAAGGAAGGGCTCCATTAAGCACATGCAGCCCAAGATGAATAGTTTCCAAAGTCTACACAACAAGTGAGGCTCCCAAACACACACATGTAAAGCAAACACTAAATATTGAAATGATACACAAGCATGTGGGCCCTAACAGGAGTGAAT